AGAAGGAGAAATCAACGTGAAAATTATGTGTTGCGGGTTAGGGTGGAGTTTTACAATGGTGGTGATAAGTGGCAGAATACGACAATGATAAGGGTGGGTGGCAAAATATAATTGTGATGGTGTGGGGGTGGGGGTGGGGGTGGGGGTGGCATGGGTGAAAGAATACAGTGGTGGTGGGAGAATGCCGAGCTAGTTGTGTTGGGATTGCGATAAATAGTTGGCTTGAGTTTGCAATGATGGGTCAGATATTGGAGGAGACAAGGAGGGAGCGTATAATAAGTATGTGAAAAATATAACTGAATGGTGCCAACCAATTTCATTAATCTTCTTATTTGACTAGCAAAAGAACAGCTCATGAGATTCCAACTCTTAATCTTAAGAGGTGTCAATGTCATACAAAAAACAAGGATACACCTTCAAGTACTGGCAAATGTGCAATTTACCCCTTAATATAGTGAATTCATGGAGCGAAAGACTCAACACCATATTATGCAACAGGGAATGAATAATTTCCCAACAGCTTACCAATAAACCATATGACCTCTGTTTGGTGGAAGAGGAATATGAGTAGCATTGTCACCTCTTATAAGAGTTAGAAAAAATTCCTTCGGGTCAAAATCATTTTAAACATTAAATACATCCACAAGTACATATCCCTTCTTCAATAATAATTGCATTACCAACTTGACTCCCTTGCATTGTAATGATAAGTTTTATTCTAAGCTGAAGAACCTACGAGTCCTTCCCCTACATGCAAGATTATGCTCCCTCACTGCACAGACATTACAACTATATATATATAAAATCACATGCACATTAAAAGCATTGAGAAACAAATACAGTAGTTGCAGAAAGCACAGAGTAGAGTCAGAAACAAATTACCAACTGAGAACTAAAAGCAACGATTTGGCCAATAAGGGAATAATTCGTCCTTAAGCCATTCACAAAATGTGAATCCAACAATGAATAGTTTAAAATATTAAGTCCTCACAACCAAACAACCAATAAAACTACTATCCACACTGAGTAAAGGAGTCAAAAAAACATATTCACCAACCTTTGAGGACGAACATCAACTGAATCCGTCTTCCTCCAGCCCTTCTCGGTCCTATCTTCCGGCAAGCTAATCCTGTCATTACCACTCCCGAAAGTCCTCCGCCCAAACGACTGTCCATCTGTCGAACCCACATCCTTTGTCTTCATCGACTCAAGTTTTTCATCAATCTCCTTCCAGTCTTTCCCCTTTTCCTTCAGAACCTCCTCTCTAGGCTTCGCATCTCCAAAAGGGCTCGAACCCTTAGGTTTCACTACACTTCCCGTCCCATTTTGTTGCCCCTCACCCACCGGCAAACTCCGTGGCTGCAAATTCAGCCTTGGCCTTGTACCCCCACTTCCTTCTTCTCTCTTCTTACCCCAATTATCCGAATCTGCATTCAATGCCGACTCATTACCCCCTCTTCTCTCTCTGAGACTATCAAACGCACTACTACCACTACCAAATCTCCGTCCCTCCTCGTCTTTCTTCTTTCCCCAATTATCCGAAGCCGTGCCACCACCGGTAGCGCCAAATCTACGTCCCTCTGATGGAACAACAGTCTTATCAGATACCCAACTATCCAATTCATCGGCCCTAGACTGCGAATCAGAGAAAAACCATCCTCTCTCTCTCCTTTCAAATCCATTACCAACAGGTGACTTCTTCCCCTTTCCCCAATCATCAATCTCATCGGCACGGGAAGGCGCTAATTCTCGGTTTGAGTCCCTATTAAACCCTCCCTGTCTGCGCGACTCATCAGAAGAAGACCTGTCATGCGAACCGTAACCGTTGGAACCGTACGATCTAAATCCACCGCCGAGTCTGGAACGGTCGAGCTCCTCGGCGGTTCGCTGACGAGGACCGGTGGGAAGCATCATGAGATCTTCGGTGGTGGGGCCCTTGGAGGCGGCTTGCCTCGATTGAGCCGGCTTAACGGACCCATAAGTGGAGAACTCTTGCAAAGATAGGGTTTGGGCCTTCTTTTTCTTCGTTTTGGTGGACGCACCGATGGCGAGAGATGGGAAGTCGGAGAGCGCCGCCGTGTCACCACCGTCGGCGTGGTTGTTTCCGGTGACGGTTTCGTCTTGCTTTTTTTGTTGGATTTCTTCTTCGTGTTCTTCAGAATCGAGAGCCCACGCGCCTGGTTTGGCCCATGCACTTACTGTTGCCGCCATGGTTGTTTCTTCTCTCTCTCTCTCTCTCTCTCTCTCTCTCTCGATTGCGGAGGTCTATGAATAGGTTTGTGTTTTGCGTTCGTTTACAACGAAGCAATCGGCTATATAAGGAGAGTGTGCGTGGATTAGATCAGAGGGCGGAGATTAAAAGTGGAAAGGATAGATTGTGTCGATTCGGAAAGGGCATTGGGAATCGGATGCGACGGACGGTGGATGATGATGGTGTTACTTTGTCGCTTGAGATTTTTTCAAAATTACAGATAGTTCCCCTGAGATTTGGTTTGGGATGCCAATTAACCTCCTGAGGTTACGTTTGGTACATACTAATTCTTTCATTATGTACAGGAAATATGCAATACGTCTTCTAATCGACTAACCCAACCAATTACCGCAACAACATTACCCCCTCCCCCACCCACCACTAGCCGAGTTTATTTGGACATGTGATCAATAGTCAATTTAGGTCTATGCTTAAAATCTCTTCTTTATGTGCAGTGGTTAAATTTAGGGGAGGTGATGATGTCGGTAATTAGATAATGTAGAACAAAAGAAGGTGACGATTCGATGGGTCAACTCAACTGGGATGAAGGGTATTATATAAAGTTTCACTTTTTATGTTCTGGCCAAGATACGATCAATGTGTAACGTTTTCCCTTTTTAAAATTTTTTGGCTAGTGAGGTGATGCAATATGGATACCGAGGGCTTTAACGTTTTATTCGATTCCAGGCATTATTGTTCAATTAAAAAAATTTTGAAGATTTTATTGTTATTTTATTTTTTAATTTTATTAGGAATTTTTTTATTTTTATGTCCTAATTTAATTAAGATTCTTATTTATTTCGTTTCTTAGTTTAATTAGGACTTTGCTATTATAAATAGCCAATAGATTAGGAATATTGAGAGAGTTTTTTATTTTTTTTAATTATTCTGATATTCTTACAAAACAGCAGATTGGTTGATGTCTTTTGGTATTTTAAGTGATCCAACAGACCTTCACCTACGGGCCTTTGGTCATAATCCGGAGTTGGTGCAGAACCAAGCAAACTCTTGAGAAATGGCAACATAGGCCTATGCCTCAACATGAACTAGGCACATAGGCCTCAACAACATACCTTCTTGAGAAGCCCATTACAGTCCTTTTTAAGGCCGACGACATTTGTTTTGTAATTTTTCACATAACTGCAAGCATATTTTATTTTTTTAGGGGTATGACTCTTTTGCTATTAATTTTTAATAATAGAAGTACTGTTGATCAAAAAGGGATTGTTTTAATTTTTAAAAACAAAAGTGACATTTTGATCAACAAAATCGATAGAGGATCTGAACCCGTCTTTATTTATTGTACGACGCGAAAGATTCTTAACCCGTCTTCGATGAGATAAAGGTGACGTAGTCGTTTAAGCTTGTGAGTCCAAGTAAAATTTAAGACAAACTCTAAGTGCGTGAATCAGTTCTTCAACTTATACACTAATTAAATTAAGACTTGCATTTTAATAGAGATTCAAACCCTCAATAAAAACTTGGGTACGATTCGTTTAAACAACTAACGTTCATTTTACCAACTAATCTCGTTTTTTGTCGGCGAAGAGGTTTAAATTTTTGATGTTACAAATTAAATTTTCACAAAGTAAAAAATACCGTTAGACAAAAAAACCTTTTGATATCTTTTAAGAGACAGTGGAGTGCGTAATGTGAAATACTTCCGTTGAATTTAATCTCGATATGGTACTTAGTGATTTACAAGCCTCCCTCTTTCATGGGAAAAAACAAAAGGAAAAAAAACGTAGAGGGCATTTTGCATAATACAGGAGAATATGAAAAACACAATGAACCTGGACCATGGCCATTGCGCTGGGTTCTGTAGCCGGACCACTCATCAGTTATTTATTTATTAGGTTAATTTGTGTTTAATGGTATAGTGCAATATAAATAATTTTGAGTGAGATATTAATAATTGTTAAATAAGTTTATTTTAGTTAAAATTTATTCTATTTTATATTATACGTAATTTTTTTTTATTTTTCAGGAAAAGGTTCAAGAAATTAAAACGTGGACTTTGTAGGGGTTAGAGGAGGAAAAAGATAAGGATGCCCAGTGAAACAATCAGGGGTGGTGCGCCACATCCTCTAATGCTGGGCCATCACCAGAAGAAGAACACATCACAGCTTTATGTGAATCAAATCAATTGAAAATATCCCCACCATTCCAACATCCCCGGTCATATAATGCAATGTATGTCTCTTCCTCTTCTGGACCCCACTTATCAACAACAATAGTTTTATCCAAACAGCACCCAGATATTCTCCAATTTTTTTCTTCTAAATCAAGGATTAAATTGCCAAAAAGGTATCTCCTAATCTCTTTATTTAGAATATGGCAATAATCTGTTATCGTTTTCAGTTATTTTTTGAAATTAATTCATTCACTTTGTTAACTAGACAGAGCTCGTATTAGGGATAATTCTTTTGAATAAAGTCTGTGAATCTCTTACCTTTAATTAAGTTAAAGAAAAAATTAATCTAATTACATATAAAAAAAAAAAAGATTAATCCAATTATATAGAAATAGATGCTGACCATTGAAACACAAGTGAACCTATTTTATTTAGTGGTAGTTAATTCAGAGAACACATATATCCACTGTAGAACCACCAAATCTAAGACTGAAACACAACCACTTTTACACCCAAAACACTTCAAAAAAACAAAAAAAAAAAGACCAAGCATGGTAGAAAAAGCAACGCTTAGGTAATGGATAAGACAGTCCGTAGATAGATCAGATCACAGATCTAACATTGACCACAGTCAGCGATGGCCACAGTCTTGGAAGTCCTTCCAGATCCCGATCCAACCTTCTCGATCGCCTTCACCACATCCATCCCCTCCACAACTTGTCCAAACACCACATGCTTCCCATCAAGCCACTCTGTCTTGGCGGTACAGATAAAGAACTGCGATCCATTGGTTCCAGGACCAGCATTAGCCATGGACAGCACACCAGGACTGGTGTGCTTCTTCGCGAAGTTCTCATCGGCGAACTTCTCTCCGTAGATCGACTCTCCTCCGGTGCCATTTCCGGCGGTGAAGTCACCTCCCTGACACATGAAGCCAGGGATCACACGGTGGAAGGTAGATCCTTTGAAGTGCAGTGGCTTGCCGGACTTTCCCTTACCTTTCTCTCCGGTGCAGAGGGCACGGAAGTTCTCTGCAGTCTTAGGAACGACGTCAGCGTAGAGCTCCATCACGATACGGCCGGCCGGTGCATCGCCGACCGTCATGTCGAAGAAGACCTTTGGGTTCGACATCTCTCTCTCTCTCACTCAGTTACTGTGTGTACTAGTGTGCGTAGGGCTTAAGCGGACGTGGTGAGTTTATATAGGGGTTTGTGACGAGGAAATTATCTAAGAAACTTTGATCGTGTCCGTTGGAGTAAGACACGTGTCTAAATCTTACGATGTAGAAACGTGACTATGGTTGGTTAATTGTTAACCGTGGTTAGTACGAGGGTAAGAAAAGATTGGATCACGTGGTATATGCTTTGCATTATTCGTCAAAAAATTGCAGTTTAGTTTCAGTGGTTGGGGTCCCACACAACAATGTAATTTGGATAAATAAAATTCGTAAAATAATTGGACGGATGAGATTAAAAGGGTGCGATTAAAGGGCTAAAAAGCTATCTTGAGAGAAGACGTTATAATATCAGCAGTATAATCTGCCATATAAATAGGGAATCTGATTCTCTAATGCATTTTTTCATTGTTTTTAAAATATCATAATAAAGTGAAATTAATTTTATTTGCCTGGAATTTTTATATTTGTTTTTGTATAGTGATCAAATCTGTAGTATCGTGATCAATTTATGCGTTCTTGATTCTCATACTTTAGGTGAAGAGAGTTGTCAAATTTTAAATTTAAGTTGTCTACTTTTATAGGTAAGTCATAAGGGCGGTGTTATTTTTGAGGTTATGAGAAATTTGTAATCACTGGTCAAAGTTGAAAGCCTTGAAATTTATTTCCTTATAGCTAGGCAAATGAATCACAAAGACATGTTGAATTATGCTGCTAGTTACATCCACCTAAACATCAACAAACGAACTTCCAAATATCATGAAACAAATTAAGGCAAATTCACACGCCCAAACAATTCATAGATAAAAACAAAGTAACAATGATCTTCTCGCCCTCTCATGTTCTTTCCACTTGATTTCTTTTGTACCTCTTAAATGCTTTTATTATGCTGTTGAAATTTTCACTCCAACCACTTACGACCTTATCATAACACCAACCATCATACGAACATACTTACACCAAGAGAGACCTCCATGGCAGCCTATGGATAAGGTGGTAGGGGTGGGGAGAGTCCAAATTTTGGGTGGTGGAAGAACTTGGGAGGAATTTTGGGGATAGTAGGAAGTGGTGGACAAGGTTTCGGAGGGATCTCTTGAATTGGAGGAAGAGGTTTATGGATGGGTGGAATTGGTTTGTAAATGGGTATAGGTGGTGGTAATGGCTTCTTGTAGATTGGGACTGGTGGCGGAAGTGGTTTTTTATAGACGGGAGGCTTGTACAATGGCGGTTTTGGTTTGTAGATTGGAATCGGGGGTGGAAGCGGCTTCTTGTATATAGGAACTGGAGGCGGCTTGAATACTGGTGGTTTTGGTTTGTAGATTGGAACCGGTGGTGGAAGTGGCTTCTTGTATATGGGAACTGGTGGTGGCTTGTACACCGGTGGTTTAGGCTTGAACACCGGTGGTTTGGGCTTGTAAATCGGTACAGGTGGTGGAAGTGGCTTAGGCTTGAACACTGGTGGTTTGGGCTTGTAAATCGGGACAGGTGGAGGAAGTGGCTTAGGCTTGAACACTGGTGGTTTGGGCTTGTAAATGGGGACCGGAGGAGGAAGTGGCTTAGGCTTGAACACTGGTGGTTTGGGCTTGTAAATCGGTACAGGTGGTGGAAGTGGCTTAGGCTTGAATACTGGTGGTTTGGGCTTGTAAATTGGGACAGGAGGAGGAAGTGGCTTAGGCTTGAACACTGGTGGTTTGGGCTTGTAAATCGGTACAGGTGGTGGAAGTGGCTTAGGCTTGAATACTGGTGGTTTGGGCTTGTAAATCGGTACTGGTGGTGGAAGTGGCTTAGGCTTGAACACTGGTGGTTTGGGTTTGTAAATTGGGACAGGTGGTGGAAGTGGCTTTTTGTATATGGGAACTGGTGGCGGCTTGTATACCGGTGGTTTAGGCTTGAACACTGGTGGTTTGGGCTTGTAGATTGGGACAGGTGGTGGAAGTGGCTTCTTGTATATCGGCACCGGTGGCGGAAGTGGCGGCTTGTTGATGGGAAATGGTGGAGGAAGGGGTTTTTTATATATTGGAGGGAAGATCTTTGGTGGCAGTGGAGGAAGAGGAAAATGGTGGCCAAAGTATTTAAGCCATGGGTGAGTTTTGGGCAAAGGTGGTAGTATGGGCAGAGGAGGATACTTGAAATAAGGCCACAAGAAAGCAGAAGTGCACACCGCCGGTGAGAATTTCAGTTTTCCGGTGGGCTCAAAGGTGTGTTTTTTATCAGTTTTGGACTTGAAAACTATCTTTGAGGCCTCCAGGCCGTCGGTGGCCGGACAAGGCGCCAATGATGCACTGTGAAGCTGTGCAAAGCATTGCTCGTTCAGCTGGCCATCTTTTAGGATTTCTTGAGGGAGAGAAACCTTGAACTTTCCTTCTTTGTCAAGCTCTCCCGCGGCTCTGGTCTTGAAATGTCCATCTTTGGACTTGCAATCAATGGTTACATGAAGCCCTACAAAAGTGAGAGAAAGCCATTGAGAATCATTTAAACCAGAACTAACTTCCATGTCGACGTTTACTCAGTAGGTTGGCTTCAATGCAACCCAATCGTACCATTGTTTTGATAGAGATTGGCGGCAAATCCAGAAGCCACCCACATGCATCAATTCTTACGAAATGGTACTTAGCGACGAAATAGTAATTTTCATCTCTACAAATATTGCCAAACCACGTGCTTGGTGGCGCTTGATTAGTTGATTTCATATTATAGTGGAAAAAATTATGCGTTTGACGACCGATTTTCAAACGCTAAAAAGTCAATTTCTTGTGAAAGCATGCATTGCAATAATGTCAAAAAATTAGAAGTTTGACTATGAAACACTCTAGAATTTATTAATTGAAACTTGGAAAATTAGAAGTTTGATTACCAAACACTCCAAAATATATTAATTGAAACATGGTAAACGTTTCGATCGTTAAATCAAATATACAAATTAAAAGTTTGATCTTCGATTATTGGAAGATACCTGAGAAAGCGTGACTAGTTTTAATATTGTTGTCCTTGCAATCTGCACATTCTCCGATCCCAACAACCTCGATAGTCTTGTCATCACCATAGCAGAAGCTTCCACAAAACAGTAAGTACAAGCAGAAGCCCAGAACGGCTCCACAACAAGGGGAATAAACCCGCATTGGTATTAGCTTCTGCAAAAAAAATCTCTCAAATCTGATCTGAGTTTTGAGTCCCAAACACACCTTGTTTATATAATGAGTTTTGAGAAAAATGGCTTTATGATTTCTCACCGACCCACAGTTAAGAACCTCACATGAGTTTAGGGACCCATTGATGGGCTTGACTTATGCTAGAGAGAGAGATAGAGAGAGAGAGAGAGAGTTCTCACAAAGGCGCCATTATCTTCATTGAATGACCTTTCAACTGTACACCTTCTCTGTCTTGCTTGTGCTCTCTCTACCTCTATACCTACTAACCATCCCTCATTAATAACTTGCTTTTATAAAATATATGTGATTTAAATTTGCTGGAATATCATGGTTTTAGCGACACTGCAAAATGGCACTCAAGTTTAAGTAATTGAGATTTGGTACATCACAGTTGGCAGTTTGAAAGGAAATGTACATAGGACCCAGTCGAAGGTTCAAGTAAAAATAAAAATGAACTATAAATTTAAATATTTTAAAATTGAATATCGACAATTTCTTGATATTAAATTATGAAAATTTTATTTTTCATGAATACTTTCGTCCCAACGTGGATGAGAATTAATCGGAATGTGCGTAAGGTGGTGTAAACAACCTTAATCGTTAAAAAGAAAAAAGGAAATGTATACATAAATTGAGACATCTAAAAGTGATTGAGAATCCATTTAACCTTCACGTGAACCCTCTTTTAGCTGCCAACTAAATTTGGCGCATTGGTCCATAATTTGATAATTGCATATTTAAATGATACTAGCAGTGCTTCCACGTGAGCAAGTTAAGTAATTTATTTGTATAGAAAATGTGAATTATAGGTGTAATTAAATTAAATAATAAATTAAGTGTTGAAAAATTAATTCATATTTTAATTATTGCTAAATTGAATGGTTGATTTATTTCATAAGTCTTTAAGTATCTAATCTATTATTTATTTAAGTATCTTTTCGGCTCCTTTAGGTATTTGCAAATCAAATAATATTATAAAATTATTAATTTTTTTTGTTAAATATTGATTAGATCGATTATTATGTTATTGCATACTAAAAAATCAAATATAATATATATCTGACCATGAAATTTACTATGGTAATTACATGGGGACAATAATTTAATATAGATAGGACTTTATTTCTTCATATAGATATAGATATAAAAAATTATATGTAAGTGTACTACTAATAAATGAGTTCAAAATAATTATAAAATCTTTAATAAAAGAGTCTAAGATATTGAAAGTCACATTAGTGGGTATAATTGACTTTATTATAATAATTAAAGATAAAATGAGAAATCAAAAGTTTTTTTACAGATGCTATATTTATAAATAGTATAGATAATTGTATAGCACTGTGTATATGTGAAACGGGGATGACTCAACTAACACTGATGTGCATATATTTGAGAATTCAATTGAATATGATAGAATACGACCCAACTAACATCATTATGTGTATTTTTGAGAGTCCAATTTAAATATATTTTATTTTGGAATACTAGCTTAAAAGTTCCTCTATCTAAAACAAAGTAGGGGCACATCATTATATGGAAAGAACTGTCTTTTTCTTAAAGATCAATAATCAATTTTAAGCAAAGGTAATCATATAGACAACGAAATGAGTTTAGCAAAAGATTGGTCATAATCCTAGGAACGATTTGAATTTTCCTAAATAAACGTCTCCCTCTAATGTTATTTGTTTGATGGATGGAGATATTTTTCCTTAAATATGTTCATTTCCTTAAATTTTCATTATTTTGTCGTCTAATGACTATTTTCCTCATAATGAAGGTTGGGATAAAAAAAAAACTTATTACGCACACAAAAACGCATACAGTGTATAGTGTGCACTAGACATGAAATATAAATAATACTCATGTTTTCTTCCCCTTTAACCACTCATAACTCCCTATTCAAAAGCACTTAACCGTCTATATAGTCATCACAGGTTTATCTCTCTTGCTCTCTGCCCACTCATATCAGTCCCGTTCTCTCTCTCTCTCTCTCTCTCTCTCTATCTTCCTCTTTCGTCCTATGCAGAACCTCTGGTATACATGTGTGTGTATGGAATAATGTTGTGGACATTAATTTTGTGTAACACCTTTTTTTACACTATTTGATGTGACATAATCAAAGTTATTGTATTTTTAATAAATTCTGCTGAACCTACTAATCTAATAGTCTATATTGAGGTGATGCATAAAAGTATCGTGGGTAGCATTGTTAACACATGTGAGGGTTCCACCTACTTAAAAAACTGAAAGCATTAAGCATTAATTAGCATGTGATGATGCTTTTTGTGTGCAAAAATGTGGATAGTATCTCCCCATCCGGACACCTCAAGAAACCCCAACTTTGAAGGTCGGCCAAGATATTAATCATTGACATAATGAAGCAACTTTAGTGGGTGATGATTTGAATAGAAAATATACACACACACACACATATATATATATATGATTTATAGTTGCTTTTAACAGATGGTGACGGTACTCCGGCACTCATTATGTTTGCATGTTCACATATTAAATCGGTTACATTGAAATAGAATCTGTTCTTCGTAACAAATGAGAGTTATAGCAGTTTGAATGTTTCACAAATGGTTGCCGTTATTTTAAGGATAGGGAGTTCCCACTGTCGGCAAAACTAATGGGTTAAGTTGCTCGGGTTTAGTCATTAAGGATCATGAAAGAGGCGATCGGAATAGTTTTTCAAATCTATTTCCGATCTCGAGCTTTCAGATACATCACCCTTTGGCTTGGGTCGAGGCTGCCACTCGGCCTTAAGACGGATCAAAGAAAAGTGGGAAAATCAGCTCTTGGCAAAACCAAATAGAACGGAAAAAGGACATCACCTTCAACTTTTGAGGCCTTAAATCACATGGCCTTGCTTTGCTTT